ATCCAGGTCCCCGTGAAGCTGGGAAGCAGGCTGATGCCACCAGGACAAGGCACCTGGGGAGCAAGCCCTTGGTGGCCCTGACCTGAGTTGCTTCCACTCTGAGCCCTGGCGGTGGGGTCAGGGACACCCAGCTGACTCAGTTTCCCCACTCCCGGGAACACAAACAGCCTGTCTTTCCCTGGGACTGAGATGATTAATGAGCAGCTGAGGAGTGCTTTGAAGATGAAAAATCTCCCCGCTGTCCCAGGGATTAATCATCGTATAATATAATGCATGTTCCATAGCACTGTGGCGACTTAATTACCTACAGTCACCGAAATGATTTTCCTCCCGCGCCTCCCTGGAGAAATGGTGCCCCCCCACCCCTGTTTTTGAGCCCCAAAGCCATAGCCCAGAGATTCTCGGCAGCGAATCAAAGCTTCCTGCAGCCACAGAGAAGCTGAAGGCTTTCGGGGGAGTGAGAAACAAAAGAGCTCAAGTAGGGATGTTCCAAACTCAGAAGGCGGAGTTGGGGGTAGGGAGGCAGAAGGGGCCGGTGGAGGAGGGCAAGGGGTGGGCCCAGAAGCTGCTCTTCTTTCCTGGCTTAAAGAACTTGCCGGTTTCCTGAAGGTGTCCTTGGTTGCTCGCACAGGTGCTGGGGGTGGGGTGTACAGGGTGTGCAGGGAAGACACAGGATTCCGGGGCTGCTCACAGCCGATTTGTTCAGACTCAAGGACTATCGCCAGCCTCTGTCCTCAACCCTGGTCAGTAGGACAGGGACTGTCCATCCCTATTGATCCTTCTTGAGGTGCGTGTCCACTCTGGCTGATCTGAGGACTTGTCATTGATATGTACGGGTCAACGCCTATATAGTTTATATTGTCAACTTGACACTGAGTCAACCAGAAAGAGGGAACACGCCCGGAAGGAAGCAGTGTCTCTCTGGGTCTCCACTTCAAGCCCTTGCCTTGAGTTCCTGCCGTGACTGATCAATCCTCAGTGTCGGGTTGTGACCTGTGAGCCGAAATAAAGCCTTTTCTGCTTGTATTGTGTGCAGTCATGGTGTTTGTCACAGCAACCGAAACGGAAGTAGAACAAAGCCTTTTATCATCTGTGAGGCTTGGATTAGGGAGCTCAGTGGCCTGCGACAGGCTGGGACTTCACTCTGTAGCCACCTGCATTGTTTACTTTGACCTCACTGTGACCCTAATTCCTGACAGAAACAACTGGAAGGGCGATGGATTGGTTTTCAATCAATGCTTCCATGGGTCTCTGTCTGTCGTGGCAGTAGCGACTCAGTTTGAGGCAGTGGGAGCTTGAGGCAGAGCTGTTCTCAGCACAGATGACAGATAACCAGGACTCAAGCAAGAACAGCACACACCCAAGTACCCGCACCTGATGACCCACTCCCGCCATCCAGACCTCACCCCCTAAAGGTCCTCCGGGAACAGGGCCACCAACTGGGGACTAAGAGTTCAAACCACAAACCTCTGGGGACATTCCATATTCAGTTCATGGCACTACCTTTTAATTCAAATTGGCACTTGGAGGGACCTGACACTTCACAGCGTCCTGGCCACCAGATTAGGAGCATTTGGACGCCTTTCAAAAACCAAATGAAGTATTTTGTTTTTATTTGATATATTTGTGCTTTGAAAGAATAGACCTTGAGAGTTTAGAAAGCAAAGAACCTGTAATACAGACAAGAGGGAGAGTCACCCTGGCTTGTGGACATCAGGCAACATCTCTTTCTAATTTTTTTTTAGGCCCTTGTTTACCCCACATGGCTAAGGTTTACCTGGCTTGACCTTCTTTTAGTGTGGAAGCAGAAAGCCTCTGAGAGAGGAGAAATGGGTTCAGGGACTGCCCATTTGCTGTGCGCCTTCTGGCTAGCTACACACCCTGTCTGAGCTTTGTTCTTCTGTCTGCAAAACAGGGCTGAGGCTGCTGTAAGGACAGATGTGCTCCTGGGATAAAAACATATGCTAGTGCTTGGGTGGCGGCTCAGCTGTCACCTTGTCAATGTTTGTCTTGGCTCCTCTCAGTGTCACACGCTGTCCCCTTCTGCCTTCTTATCTTTCTGCAAGCGATGAGCTCCACCCAACACGGTGCACACCATGTGTTTGGCTCTGCTGTCACCTGCAACCCAGGGGGAGTTCAGGAAGTCTCTTACAGGGACCTGCTGACTGTGCTCACTGTCTTGAACCCAGGTCCAGGCCCAGTGCTCAGTGAATGTGTAGAACAGTTCAGCAAAGAGGACAGGAGCATGGGTGGCACCTCGGGAGGGGTGCCTGGACCATAGTGGAGGAACTCACGCACAGGAAGTGCCAGAGGGCCCTGGAGGTATGGCTAGTGGAGGCTGCCTGCTCCGACACTGCTTAGATGGCCATCTCCATAGGTGCATGCCTGGTGGCAGCAGGAAGTCCTTTCTCTCTGCCGTAGGAAGACCAAGGTCATTAGGTGTACAGTCTCTCTGCCTAGACAGCTTTGCTTGGGTCTGTGGTGGTGGCAGCAGAAAACACTGTTGGAGAGAAGCCACCAGCCTAAGATGAAGGGATTGTAGCTGTTTGGAGCCCAGCTGTGACTGGAGAATCATATCCCAGCCTGCTTGCCAGTCTCTGTCTGGGACCAAGAGGCTACTGGAGAGTGGAATTAGTCTTAGCATCTTCTGAACTATTTGAAAGATCTCCCGGCTAACCATGGTGCGATCAGCGTTCTCGTGAGAGTGGCTCTGCCAGCATGCTGCACCCAGCTGCAGCCACTGAGCCAAGCAGGAACTCCAGGTAGTCCCTACCTGGGACCACGGCCTTTTTGGTATAGCAATGGGAAGTCCTTAGTTCTGGGGATCTTCCCAGAGTCTGAGACTGTTGTGGCTCCCAGATCCAGCCAGGTCCAATGTCACAGCCTCCTCTGCCCAGCCAGGTCACATCCTCAGTGCCATGGGGTTCCTCTAGGATTCATTGCAGCAGTTCTAACCGACATTTAAGCTTCTCCCCAACAAGTCAGGGGTAGGGAAGATATGGTGAAAGCAGTGGCCCAAACAGAGCCAGTCCTCATCTGGAAGCAGGTGACCAGGTGCAGGTAAGGCTTAGTCACAACCAAAGCAGGACCTATCCAAACTTCAGTTCCCTGAGTCATTTTCAGGGTTGAAAGGATCTCCTCTTTAGACCAGTCTTCACCCTTTCACCCACTAGTCTACCCGTCCACCCATCCTTCTGTCCATCCTTCCACTCACCCATCTGTCCACCTGTCTGTCCACTCAACTACCCATGCACTTATCCACTCATACACTGACTCATTCATCCTCCCAACCACCTACCGATGTGCTGGTCCACACACCCATCTGCCAATCCATTTACCCACCCACCTACCTATCTACCCATTCATTGTCCATCTAGCTACTGCCTCACTCACCTGCCTATCTGTCCCAGTTAGGGTTTCTGTGCCTATGATAAAACACCATTACCAAAAGCAATTTGGGGAAGAAAGGGTTTATTTCATTTGAAAACTCCCAGGCCACACTCCACCACTGAGAGTGCGCCCCTGCCACAATCAGGTCCGAGGTATCAGGAAGAGACAAGACATCCACTTGTTTGTACTAAAAGAATGTATGTGCTGCCTTTATTGCCAGAAGAATGTGTGTGTGTGTGTGTGTGTGTGTGTGTGTGTGTGTCTTCATTACAAATGCTAAGAGGTCTCTCTCTTGTAGGAGGGAGGAGCTTTATATACAGGTTTACAGCACAGTGGAAAAACCCCAGGTAGAAGAGAGCATGTTTTCCTCTTGCTGAATGTTGATGTCAGAGGGTCAAGGCCAGGGCAGTAAGCCAGGACTAGAAAACAGGAAGCACTTGGACTGGAAAACAAGTTGCACTTGTAGGCTGACCAGCAACTCACAGAGACCCCATGGGGCCCAACATCTCCCCCCTTCTTTATATATAAATCAGTACCTATCTCAGGTGACTAAGATGTCAATGTCAATCTTAGTATCAATAACCAACTCTATATAAATGTAAACAAACATTTATAAACAATATTTGGGAATGTGGGTGTTGTTCTTTCTAAACTACTTCCTGCTGTTAAGGGGCGCTGAAATACCATGGGGATCATGACAAAAAAAAAAAAAGAAACAGAAACCTGTTGAAGTTCTTGTTTTTGTGGTCTGTAAGGCTGCATCATCTCAGCTGTTTTAGATGTTGGATCACCTGGGTCACTGCTTTAGGTGGTCTTGCTTCATCAAACCATACTAGTCTGGAAGGAACCCACAGCTTTTTATGTTCTGTGGAAACAAAAGCAGAAATTATTTTCCTAAGTAACCTGTCCTTATATTTAAATTTAAAAGTCAAAGCATTTTCAAAATATGTAAGTTGGATTAATTTAGCAGCATTAATAATTAAATGTCTTTTAGCAGTTTTTGTTCCCTTTTTAGCAATTAAAAAATTTAAAGACAACACAACTGTACATAGTATCCAGACTCTTTGTGTATTTTTCATTCCATATACTTTTATCATTTCCTTTTCTTTTACTTAATACCAGCACCTCATTTATTAACTGTTACCAATTTTCAGTTTACCCACTTTTAATCCATCCTCCAACTGAGGGTGATTTCTCAGGTTCCCCTTTCTTTCCCAACCTTGGTATCAGGCAAAGGCCTGGAGATTTAATCCACCCCACCCTCCAACCTAGGGTGATCTCTCAGGTTCCCCTTTCTTTCCTGACCTTGGTGTCAGGCGAAGGCCTGGAGATTTAATCCAATCCACCCTCTAACCTAGGGTGATCTCTCAGGTTCCCCTTTCTTTCCTGACCTTGGTGTTGGGCGAAGGCCTGGAGATTTAATGCAATCCACCCTCCAACTGAGGGTGATTTCTCAGTTTCCCCTTACTTTCCCAAACTCAGTGGATCGGGTGAAGGCTGGAGATTAATTCAATACACCTTCTCCTTAGAAAAAGCCTGGAGATTTGTCCATTCAATTTTACTGTTAGAAGTTGAGGTACCTGCTTTTAAATCTTTTCTTTTTCAAGTCTCTCCTCTTCTGAGTCTTCTTTCTGGCCAATCTTTCCCAGTCTTTCCAAGTCTCTCTGAATCTCGGTGGGACCTCCAATTGCAGCGCCCGCACCACGAACAACTCCAAGGTATCGGGAAAGAGAGACCACACGTCCATTTGTTTGTACTAAGAGAATGCATGTGCTGCCTTTATTCCCAGGAGAATGTGTATGTGTGTGTGTGTGTGTGTGTGTGTGTGTGTGTGTGTGTGTCTTCATTACAAGTGCTAAGAGGTCTCTCTCTTGTAGGAGGGAGGAGCTTTATATACAGGTTTACAGCACAGTGGAAAAACCCCAGGTAGAAGAGAGCGTGTTTTCCTATTGCTGAATGTTGATGTCAGAGGATCAAGGCCAGGGCAGTAAGCCAGGACTAGAAAACAGGAAGCACCTGGAGTGGAAAACAAGATGCACTTGTAGGCTGACCAGCAACTCACAGCGACCCCGTGGGTGGGGCTGGGGCCCAACAGAGAGAAATCCAGGACAGGAATTCCAGGTAGAAACCTGGAGACAGGAATGGATGCAGAAACCATGGAGGAATGCTGCTTACTGACTTGCTCCTCAGGGCTCGCTCGGTCTACTTTCTTATACTACCCAGCATCACTAGCCCAGGAGTGGCACAGCCCACATCAAACATCAGTCAAGAAGAGTACCATAGCCTTGCCTAACGGTCAATGCACTAGAGGCATTATCTTAATTGGTACTTCCTTTTCCCAAAATGACTCTAACCTGTGTCAAGCTGACATTAAAAACTAGCCAGCACACTGTCCATCCACCTGCCCACCCATCTATCCATCCACTCATGTGATCGTCTATCTATCCCTTCATCTACCAGCTTACCACCCTCCCATCAACACAGCCACCCACCCTTCCACTTACCCGTCTGTCTTCCAGTCTACCCAGCCACCATTCCAACACCCACATATCCAGCCATCTATCCGCCCACATTTCTACTCACCTATCAGTCTGCCTATCCCAGGCATCCGCTTAATCCCTGGCGGCCATGACCCCCAACCCTGCGCTCAAGCTGCAGGTTTGCTAATCAGGGATATAGGATCATGGGAGATCCCAGATGGTGGCAAGCAGGAGACTAACAAAGTCATCTCAGAGGCTTGTGCGGGATTCAGAGGGCCGGGTCCATCATGCCCTCCCTCAAGAACGATGGCAGGAGAGGCGTGACTCTGGGAGTGGAGAAGACAGAGGGTCATGTAGCAGTTAACAGATGATGACAGAAGCTCATAAGACAGCCCATGGAGGTCTGCAGGAGACAGCTGAGCTTGCAGGAGGCAGGTACTTGTGATGGGAGTGAGGTAAGACGCCAGGATAGGCTGGAGAAACACGATCTGCAGACCTGGAGGCTGGGGCCGTGGGGAAGGTCTGAGTCTGCTGAGCAGGGGTGTGTAAGAGACCCAACATCGCACTTTCCTCTCTGGGCCTGGTTCTGTGTAGGGCCTGGGGCCATACAGGGACCTTCTGGGCTGCAGTCCCATGGTGTGGTGGAGCTCCAGCTCCAGCTGGGAGGCAGCCTGTGAAGGGAGGGTTGGAAGTGGGACCCTGAGGGCAGGGGAGGAAAAGTAAACATTTGCAGCTGAATAAGTGGACTCAGACTGGATGTGGGCTGAGGGGAGGGGCTGTGTGGGGTCTTTCTGTCCCTCATGGCCCGCCCGAGGCTGCTGAAGTTCAGGACAGGCAGGGGAGGCTCCACTGCCCAACCCATCACTGGCTCCAGGATGTTCTAGGTCTTGGGAACTTCTAGTAGCTGGGAATGTCAGCTTTCCAGGCCTGCAGCAAATGGTGCCCATAGACCCAGCAGCATCTCACCACTAAGACTGGGAATTGGAGGCCCAGAGGAGCAGGCTGGTACCCAAGGGCTCCTTGCATCAATTTTGGAGGTGACAGCCTTTGCTTTGATGCCCAGGAAAAAGAGTGACAGCTGGGTAACAATGCTGCCCCTAGGCCAGTATCCACAAGGCTAGCTTTAGGATTGCCCCCTTACTCCCTGCTTGAGGCAAAGTTGACCTCTGGCCCCAGGGAGCATGTGGTGTGGTGAGCACAGGATCCTTCCCTTGTTAAGAAGGATTGCCAGCAAGGGCTTGGCAGGAGCACACCGAGCTGCCCTGCCTGACTCCCCGTGGGGCCACGCCCATTGCTGTCATGTCCAGGTCAGAAACTCAGTGTTACCCTTGATCCCAGGACAGCAGTCTGACCTCAAGAAAGTCAGGAAAGGAATCTCAGAGGGAGGGTGGGGTGATTTCTACCACTGGTCCAGATTTTGGGACACTCCTTTTGCTGGAACTGGACTTGACCCCTGCTTTAGGAACAAGTCATTCCACATTGGAAGATGAGCTTAGAGGTCTTCCAGAATCCCCAGAGCACCCAAGAGAAGGGTCTCCTCCATCTTTTAGTGTTTGGGTGCAGGAGAAAGGGGAGAGGTACTTGATAGAGAGCCAGGGACAGTGATACGCTCTGGTTTAAGAGGCCATCTCCTTAGTTTGGCTTTCCAGTTGGACTTGTGTTCAAAGAAAGGCTGAGGTACCAGTCCCTATATGAGCTCTGACAGAGGCTAATTTGAGAGGTGAGCCTTATACAGGGGGTCTTACCTGGGGATAGAGGGCTGGACTAGACTACATGACCTCTTTGGGTAGCCTCTCCATCCTTGAAACAGAAGAGTGATGGACACTCTTCCCTGTGGGTTAAAGAAGGAGATTTGGTTATGGGTACCACCCTGATCCCTCACTGGACACCACACACTCTTAGGTCACTAAGGATATTCTTTAAGTCAAAGATGGTTAACGAGTGTATACAGATGGTCCCTGCTAGGGGTCACTGCTCTGCAGCAACTAACCATTTTGACTTTCCCTGTCCCTACGCAAGTTCAGGAGCAGAGTCTTAGTTAGGGTTACTATTGCTGTGATAAAGCACCACGACTAAAAGCATCTTGGGGAGGAAAGGGTTTGTTTCACTCACAATTCCTTGTAACAGTTGATCATCAGAAGCAGTGAGGGCAGAAACCCGGAGGCCGGAGCTGATGCAGAGGCCGTGACTTGCTCAGCCTGCTTCCTTAGAGGCCCAGGACTGCTAGGCTAGGGGTAGCACCTCCCACAATGCACTGCACCCTCACACACCAATCACTAATTATGAAAATGCCTCATAGGCCTGCCTATAACCCGATCTTGTGGAGTAATTTTCTTAATTGAGGTTCCCTCCTCTCCAATGACTTTAGCTTGTGTCAAGATGATATAAAACTAACCAATACAAGCAGAGAGCCATCCCCAGGCTCTCCACCATGCCGCTCAGGAGTTATGGGGCACTCCTCCTCATTCATTACTGCAAGGTACTGGGGTGACTCCGGAGCTGTTGAGGCCCCAGGCCCCCTCCTCAGTGGGGAAAGGGACACAAGCTCTCCAGATGTCAACTGTTGGTGCACAAGGGTTACACAACCTCCCTGGATTTTCTTAGGATTTTGTATAGAGAGATGGTTACAATGACATCACAGTGTGTAGCTCCCCACTAGTCACAGGGCATGCCCTCAGTCCAGTGCTTGGAAAGAGGAACCTGTCACCAGTTTTCACGTGACTGTCATACACCAGCAATTTCCCAAGGGCATTTCAGCTAAGCCACCAGTTGGAGCAGAGATCTGGGTTCTGCTGAGGAAACCACAGGGCGGACCATGGCACGGTTTCAGTTCTCCTTTGCTGGTCCTTTTGAAATGTTTGTTATTGAAAGATTTTGTGGAGAAATTGCAAAAATAAAGTGCTTGAGAAAGAAGCAGTAATTTGCTTGTTCAACTCACTAATCAAGCTTGGAAATTCCTAGATGGACTCTTGAGTACAGAGAGATCAATCATGGTTTGCGTGGCACTGAGGGAGTTCCTAGATTAAGGAGCTCACAACAAGTGGTTCAATCTTATTTAGTGTAAGCATTGCCTTCCCCACAAAGCTCCAATAGGCATGCTGACCAGCCAATCAGAGCCTTCTCTGTCTTTGTTTGTTTGTTTGTAACCCTACCTGTGTTCCGCTCCACAGGTCAGAGAGCCAGCACCTCAAAGATGACTATGGGGAGGAAGAAGTCTGAGGAGAAGGCATTTACATACCATAAATGTTTAATTTCACCAGCGTTTCTCCCATGCCGTGCATACTGGGATGAGCTTTATACATTCTTCCCATGTCTCAGTACCCTTCAGCAAGGTTAATCCTGTCCTAATGCAAGTTTAAAAATTAAATCCACTTCAGTGAACAAATGTCCTGCGCAGCCTCATCCCATTCTTTTACCCAGAGTAAACACATTTGTGCTGTGACTCCAAACACCGAGCTCCAGGGTGGATGGCACACACGGTCCTCAGAGTTGCAAGCTCTGGTCCCTGCATCCACTGTGCTTGGCTCATGCATTATATATGAAAGCCCCGTTCCACGCCTGCCACGGTGCAGGCGTGCGGGCAGAGACCTGTCAGCGTGTTTAAACCAAGAGCAAGGTGGCTTGTGTTCTGGGCCCCGGGAACAAAAGGCTGGAGATGGATTTGGAGTTTTAAAGAATGTCTAGGTTAACTCAGGTGGGGTCATACTCTTGGATTTTTCTAGTTTGTTCACAAGCTTTAAAAACACAGGGAACTACGCAAGAACAATCGCAGAGACAGAACGAAACCCCAGGACCGCGGCAGCCTTGCCTGTCTGATTTACCTCGCCTGTGCTTTAGGAGGTGAACGTGACCTTCATCCCAGGCAGAGCTGGAAGAGGATATCAGGAGATCTGTTTGCTCTATACTGTCCTAGGGCTTGTAGACTCAATTAAGATATTAAAAACAGGACTCGGGGAGCAGAGTTCCTCCACGGTGCTCTGTCTTTGTGTCTCCAGCAGGCAGTCCAGGGCAGACTCCCTGTGTCTTGGGGATGCAGGAATGGTGTGAAGAGACCCTCTGCCTCAGGAGATATAAATTCCAATTTTCTGTGACACAGACTATTATGCTGCAAGCACTGGTCATCTGTCTTCGAAGGCCTGGCAGGTGCTTTGTGCCCTGTTATTATCTCTGGGAAATTAAAACAGGCTGTGCGTGAGGAATGCTTCCTGTGGAGCCCCAGGTGACTCTGTCTCAAGCCCGGGCTGACCTCAGCAACTACCTCTGGGAGTTTTTTTCTGGGAGGCTGGCACTGCTGGATACCCTCCCTCATATCCTCTGTGTGTTCCTGTCCCCAGGGCTGCTGAGCACTTCCCAATACTACATAGCTGGAAAGTGACTTTCTAAAGACAGGGTCACAACAGCCTGACCTGACAGAGGAAGGGAGGGAGGGGAAGGAGGGAAACAAGAGGGAGGAAGGGGGAAGAGAGAGAAGGGAGAGGGATGAGAAGAGAAAGAAGGCAGAAGGAAAGGAATCCTTCCACCCTGTAACCATGGACAAAAGTTGACATTCCCTTCAAGTCTTCAGTGTTGGAATTGTGAAGATGGCTTAGTCAGTAAAGGGCTTGCTTGCAAGTATGAGGACCTGAGTTTAATCCCCAGAATACACATAAACCACACACACACACACACACACACACACACACCATTAAAGTAAAACAAGCAAACAGAGGCTGGACATTGTGTGATTGTCTTTAGTCCCAGCAATGAGGATGCAGAGACAGGTAGATCTCTGAGTTTGAGGTCTGCCCATTCTACAAATCAAGCTCCAGGATGGCCAGAGCACATAGCGAGTCAGACCCTTTCTCAAAACAAACAAAAACCAAACCAAACAAACAAGAAACAAAACCCAAGGTAGCTGTGAATGAGGAATGACAGCTAGACTTGACCTCCAGCCTCTACATGCCTGCGAATACTTGTGCACGCATACCTGGACATACATGAACACACACACACACACACACACACACACACACACACACACACACACACACCCCTGTAGTGTTTAAGGACCCCTGGCTTTTGTTCCTGGGCCCGAGGGAGGCCTTTTTATCTGCTTTCTTCCCAGCCCCTTTATCCTTTGACAGCTTTATTAAGAGACTCCACATACCATGGAAATCACCCGTTTGAAGTGCTCAGTTCAGTGGGCTTGTAGTTTCTAGCGTCAAGTGTCATCAGCACATTCTATAATTCTACAGTAACTTAGAAAATGTTCGTCACCTGAAAGGCAGCCCCAGCCCCATTGTCCTGTCTTCCTCTCTCCTTCCCCAGGCTCTGACAACCACTGTGTACCCTCTCTGTGAGCCTGCCAGGTCTGGGGAAACATGAAGGGATTCATACGGTGTGGTTTGGCTCCCTCATTCTGGAAGCTCGTCCACAGTGTGGTACAGAATTTCACTCCTCGGTGTAGCCGATGGCATCCTAATGGGGTGGCTTGTGTTCTGTTCGCTCACCAGCTGAGGGACACGTGCCAACTTCCACGTGTGGGCCCTCGTGGTCCTGCAGCTGTGAAAGGACAAACGTACAGACCTGCGCATCCCGACTGCTTTCAAGACTTCACCTGGGAGCCAAAGTTCTGGGGCGTGTGACAACTCTGAGTGTTTCCCACAACCGCTGCTTGCCATGCGCCTACTTCCTGGACTTCTAACTGTTGCGTTTGTGTGCAGAGGCAAGGAGGAGGGGGTGGGGTGTGGAGCACTCAGGGATCCCTAGGACTCCACCGGGAGGAACCTCAGTGGCGTGGGGACAGCCAGGCTTGAGGACCTCTGAGATGAAGGACCCTCAGCCAGGGGCAATGGAACAGAAAGATCCCACGATTTTTAATGGTGTATCCTCAGAGCTAGGTCCCAGCAGACAGGAGAGGGAAGGAAGAATGGGGAAGTTGGCTACTGGAGAACCCAGGGGTGGAGGAGGGTCAACAATGCACAGGCAGGAAGGGTGGAGTGAGTGACCTCAGGCTGGGGAGAAGGCCCCCATAGGCACAGACACACTTGGAATGGTTCAAGATACCTGACTTCTTTTCCTCCCAAATGGGAATTGTCCCAGTCGGGGTGCCGAGAGGACCTTCAGTCCCCTTTCTTGAGCTCTGAATCTGGCAGATTTCCTCTGTGCCCCAGAAGGGTTGAAGACAGATGTCCTCACAGAGGACACAGCTGTCCCAGAAGGGCAGAGATGGAGCAATGCAGCGGTCCCTTGCACAGCCTTCATGAGAATGTGTATTCCCAGTAGAGGGACAGGGCAAGTCCAGGTACAATGGATAAGAGGGCCAATCATGGTGAAGTGGCCAGCTGGCTGCCTCAGTTGTGATCCTGGGAGGGACCGCTGACTGGGTCACCTCCCTTAGAACCTGCAGAGCTCTCCCAGCCCTGTCACCTAAGGGCCCTTCCCTCCTGTCTTCTTAGTCCACAGCTCACTGAATGAGGAACCACTAATTGCATCTTTCAAGGCTTTTGTCCCATCAGCAAGGGGGTCGGTAGCCCGTGCTACATGGACATGGTCCCTATAGAAGGAACACACTTTCTGTCCAGGGTCCCTCTCTTCTGGCTTCAACACCAGTACTGGGGGCCAGAGTGGGTGTTAGCGCTTGGTTGGTCTCCTAGAAGTGAGGGCACAGAGAAGGTCTCTGGGCCCTCTACATGCCGGGCTTCCTGCCAGGAGGCAATAAAGGCTCACCTTGACACCTGTCTTCAGTCGTCCTTGCTCTGACCTTCCTTTAGTGAACCAAAACATCCACTCACCAAAGCCCATGAAACTTAACATAGCCCTGCCCAGCTTCCCAGGGCTCCAGGTCCTCTGGGAGGCAGGAGTCTTGCTTTGTTCTCTACTTCACCACTAACCACACTCCAATCCCACTGCTCAGGGGATAAATGTTCTTTCTGCGTGTGTGTGTGTGTGTGTGTGTGTGTGTGTGTGTGTGTGTGTGAGAGAGAGAGAGAGAGAGAGAGAGAGAGAGAGAGTGTGTGTGTGTGTAGTGTCCGTACATGTTTACATGTGCTTATGTGTGTACATGTTACATGTGTATAGAATTCCTCCTCAATGGCTCTCCACATTACTTTCTGAGAGAGGGTTACAGATGCACTCACCAAACCTGGCCTTTATGTGAATGCTGAGGATCTGAAATCAGCTCCTCACACTTGCACAGCAGCCTGTGCCGGGCATTCTTTCAATACCAGTTTAGAGCTTGGTAGTTTGTGAGCTTCAGCAAGCATCTGCAGAAGCTGTGATGGCTTTGTCACTGCTATACAGGCTTCCTGCAGGGTAGTGGCCATTCTGCAGCAGGTGGACCTTTTGTCCTAGGGTGTCCTAGCATTCTTCCTGCTGAGCTCAAGTGAGCTACCCGTGGCTGGATGCTGAGTTCCCTGGGCACAGGGAATTGTGTGCATGATGCCATGAGGCTTTCGGACGTGTTTATACCACGTGCACTCTCCGTAATAATGGGTGAGGGTTCCCACTTCTCAGAGTATTCTCACCAAAACCCTGTATAGTTTGCTTCTTTGAGAAAATTTTCATCCTAGATTGAACGGATGGTGATGTTTCGGTGATCACCAGAGAAGTGCTTTGCTGTTTCTATTGGAATGAAGTATTCATGCTTATAAGCATCTCTTGGGGTCACCGTTATCTTTTCCAGAGGAGGGTGGCTCCCAGGAAACCCTCTTACAACAATGCAAGCCATCTGCCATGCGTGCATTGACGTGTCTCAAGCTTGTCTCCCCCACACCTTGCTGTATTTTGAAAAACAAATGCTGTTCACAATGGTTCACACCAGTTTTTAAACTTTCTTTTTGTGCCTGGCAGTTTTCTATCCCATATAAGGCATTAATGGGCTATTTGATAACTTACAATATGATCTAAGGTTGCTAGGCTTTACCATTCGTGTTGGGATTTACAGTTCTCCCAACATTGATTTTATTTGTACAATTGAAGTCAGCACTCACTTTTTGTTTTTCCATACACATAGTTGGTTGTTTGTCAAAGTTTTCACCCCCTGTTTCTCTATAGAGCCACCGCTGGCACAGATCAAAGGGCAGGATATACCCTGCTTGCTTCTGGACCATTGCTGGCCCTACTCTCTGACTGTGTAGCCCTGAGCCAGCAGCACGATGTCTGAGTAGCTTTGGGGGCATGCTTTGGTGCCTAGCAGAGCAGATCAATGTCTCTTGGTTTTGCTCAAGAGTATCATGGTTTTTCTGTACATTTAAAAAGCATCTGTGTCATACACTGGTGGGGGTGGTAACCATGGCTCACTCAGGGGACAAGTGGCATGGGCACCCTGATCCATGAATACAGAACAGACTTCCATGAACACAGACCTCCAAGGTCCTGGTCTTGTGTGCAGACTCTGGATTCCTATTTCAGAGGATGCTCTCAGGCACCCACTGTCAGGGTGTAGCTTTGACACCTGTGACCTCTGTGTTCCGTGTGCTGGGTTCTCATTACTGGCTGAGCTTCTGGTCAGTTCTCCTGTCTCTACCTCCCATCTTTCCAAAGAAGTGCTGAGATCTGGTGTGCAGGCCACTCACTGCACCCAGTGCCTCATGGAGGTCAAATTCACAAGCCTGGAGGTCAGGCTTGTGCAGCAAGTACTTTTGTCTGTTGAGTCATCTGCCCAGCCCTCTACAAAAGGTGTGTGTGTGTGTGTGTGTGTGTGTGTGTGTGTGTGTGTGTGTGTGTGTGTTGGGGGTGACAACTTTCAGGAGTTGGCTCCCTCTTCCCACCTGGTTTCTGAGGCAGGCCCTTTCTTGACATCCATGAACAGTGTACTTCAAGTGAACTTGGCTGTCCCTTGAAACCCCATCCTGCCACCTTCTGATGACATCAGATGTCCACACCATTCAGCTGAAGAGCTACTGTCAGCTTAGACCGAGCATGCAAGGTTTGGACCTCAAACGATAGAATTTAACCTGCAGGCAAGGAGATAGGCATGAAGGGGCAAGAGGTATCTTCACCGCTGGTGTGATGAGCAGCCCCTGGCCCGCTGGATCTCCCACAGAATAGAGTCCAGCGTCTGATCCTTGCAGGCTGTGGGATTCACCTGTAGTTCTCTACATGTAAATGCCAGGCGAGTTCCTCTACCTTGGTGGCTGGTGATGACAAGGTACAAGCAGTGTTCTGGGTGTCACAGGTGCTCAGGACTTCTTTTCCCTTCCCCCATCAAATCCCTAGTGACCAGCTTACTCCTGACTGCCCTGGGGACTGGCCTCCAGAATCCTACCTAACCACAAGAGATGACTTAGAGCCTGATGGGAAATGAGAAGGGCGTGTGGGGCTGTGCTTGACTTAAGACAACAGGGCAGGTCCTTTGCAGATAGAGGTGATCCTGGACTGGGTTCAGATGCCTCCGCAGGGGGAAGTGAGCCTTGGGAGGCCTCACTGGAAGAACAGACACATGGTTGGGACAATTTCAGGCCTCTTGTGTAACCATGGGCCTCCAGGAAGTGATTGTCTCCTGGGGATTGGGACATTGGAGCTCAAGGTGGGGAGCCGGGGTTCTTGCCTTATAAGAGCAGGGCGTCTCTGCAAAGCGATAGAGAAGGCTGGGAGCTGAGCAGTTACCATGGGACCGGGACCTGCTGCCCTATTCATCTTCATGCTGCTCATCAGAGGCCTGATCACTCAAGCTGCTGACTCCTGCCCAGGTAAGACGGACTCTAAGTCCCTGGAAGCAGGTAACCACCCACCATTGCCCACTTAGTGTCCCCGCACACACCTCTTCTGATAAGCTCCTGCCAGCTCAGTGTCACCCTCTGAAGGTAGACTCTAAGTGAGCAGCACCAGGTCGGGTGGAGATTTCATGGGCCCGTGACTGCTGACCCTGAGGCCTGGAGTCTGACCTTGGGAGATTCACAGATGACACCGTGTTTCCCACCTTCTTGGGGAGTTCAGAGGGAAATGCAAGGAGCCTCTAATCTGGTGGCTGGCACTCCCCCTTGGTAACCTTGGTAAAAATGTACCCCATAGTCCTATATGGGCAAGGATTTGGGGTTGGGAATATCCCTGATTGGCTCTGTGCACCTGGGGGTATTGCTCCTAAGCACAGGACAGCTGTCCTAGGTGGTAACATGATTAGAGAAGGGACTCAGACAGAAAGGCACAGCTCACCCCAGGGAAAAGAGCCAGCAGGAAACTGGATGCAAAAAGCCTACGAGGCTTCAACCCTACACACAGAGCTACAGGCAACTGAGGGAAGATGGGAGAGGTGGTCCTCCCCACTGAGGAGCACCAACTAGTTGTCCAGTACCAAATAGTCAGCCATGTAAACATACACACAAGCAGCATTATATGGACTCAAGTAGTTATGTTCAGGAATATATATATATGTATATAAGTATACATATATGCATACAATAACAATTAGCGACCAAAGAGACCATGAATTTGAAGGAGAGCAGGGAGGGGAGAGGTATGTAGGAGGCTTTGCAGGGAGGAAAGGGAAGGGAGAATTGTAATTATACTCTCAAAATGAAAAAAGTTTGGCAAGAAACATGGTAAAGATAGTCCTCTGGTCACCCAGACGGAACCCACCTTACTATGATACCTCAAGAATCCTGCAAGGGTGTGTGATTTGCAAGCCCACAATTTAACAATAACTTCAAAAACTGTAGCAACTTCTGTTGGGTCTCAGCTGTGCTGTGAGGCATGCACATCCGCTCCCCAGAAGACCTCTTCTAGTCCAGTCATTCCGTGGCCAATCTTACCTTCAAGACCGAGAGAAAATGTCACATTGACGGAATTTCTTAGCGAGGTTGATTATTGTTTTTCAGAAACAGCAGCCATTCACAAAGCTCTTTCTAAATGCCAGAACCACAGCAAGACTTTAGTTTTCTAAATTCATTCTCAAACTGAGTCCCAGCCACACCTCTATTCCTTAAGACACCATGCTTTTAACTGTGTATGGGTGTTTTGCCTGTATGTATGTATGTCTGTGTGCCAATTTCACGCCTGGCGTCTGCAGAGGACAGAAGATCCCCTGGAACTGGGCTTATGGACAGTTGTGAGGTGCCACGTGGGTGTTGGGAATCAAACCTGGGTCCTCTGCAAGAGCAGTGCTCTTAACCACTGAGCCATCTCTCCAGGTCCTGCAACCACTTGGGGCTGAGGGGACAAAGACACGGGGACATTAGGTGATCTGCCAAAGGACTGCCACATTGGTAACTGGAGGGTTCATTCCCCACCCACCAGTTAGGGCTCCATCGTGATTCCCCCCTCACCTGCCCAGCTTCCTAGGGCAAGGACAGACCTATTCTGTCTAATCCCTCTGGAGGAGACTGGTGATTCTGGCTGCAGCCATTCCTGACATGGCTGAGTTGGCAATTGCCCTCAGGGCAGGTGACCAAGATGGTAATGCTACTTGATGCTTGTGTTCTGTAGAAATGAAAGTCCTGGATCTGGAGGGCTCCAACAAGCTCACCGTCCTTCAAGGCTGCCCTGGGCTGCCTGGAGCCCTGGGGCCCAAGGGAGAAGCAGGTGCCAAAGGAGATAGAGGTGTGTTCTGGGGAAGGGGGGATGTGCGGGAGGTACAGCAATGAGGGCCCTGAGTCTGGTCTTCTGAACTTGGATGACCACCTCAGGCCCTCCCTTACTTGAGGTCTTGCACTGGATACCTTGGCACAATGGCCAGTGACAGAAGCTAGGTCCAAGCAGTCTGAAAAGATCCAGGAGGGCTTCTCTGGACCATCTTAGATGCTCTGGGCATGCTCTGAAGCCCTGCTTCCTGGTCCCCTACCAATGATTGCTCCACCTGGCCACTAGAAGACATCTAGGCAATAGACAGCATCACCCGAAAGTTGGGCTGTCACTTTCTTCTCCACCTGCCCCAGGTCACAGAACAAAGGCTCAAAAGGACCGGCTTCCTCCCTGAGCGGGCTCTCCCGAGAGAGTGAGACAGCCTCCATCTGGGATCTGCTTCAGAACCCCGAACCACAACCTTAGCCCTTGTGGGGACCTCATGAACACTTATTCTTCCCAATGGAGAAATAGAGGTGGTGTCTGTGTCTCCTGAGTTAGACTTGGATGTGCACTGAGGTTCAGCAGCAAAGCTGCCTGGGTGAGCCCCATGTCTGAAGGTACCCCAGGAAGAGTCTGGTGATGATCTGTTGGGGACAGAACAAACCTGGACACCTCTATGACACCACTAGAAGATGCCAGGCTTAAAGCTAATATGGGTGGCCCCCAGCACAGCACTGCTGGTGTCTGAAGCAGCTTGAGGCTTCCATTGTCAGGTGTGCCCAAGGACAGAGTGGACTTGTCCATTCTCTACAACTGGGCATCAAGGGGCGTGAGAAGCAACTTCACTGCAGGGACTCTGACCCTACAGAGCATCTTTGGTTCCTGTGATTAGAATCTTCAAGGAGGACCTTATGACGTCCTCACAGCCTCCACTGAGCCAGGGAGCACCTTCGTTGGGTTTCTATTGCTCTACTAGAACACCACGACTAAGAGCAACTTGGGAAGGAAAGGGTTTGTTTCATCTCATAGCTTGGAGTCTGTCCTCCAGGGAAGTGGAGGCAGGGACTTAAGACAGGAACCTGGAGGCAGCCGGTGAAGCAGGGACCATGAGGAAATGCTGCTTACTAGCTTGCTCCTCAAAGCTTTCTTAGCCTATCTTCTTGGCTCCTGGGGCCACCAACCCAGGCGCGGCACCACCCACAGTGACCTGGGCCCACCACATCAATTGCTAATCAAGAAAATGCCACATAGGCTTGTCTGCAGGCCAAACTGTAGGGGCATTTTCTCAGTGGATTCTCACAGGATTCTAGCCTGTGTCAAAGCGGCATAAGAACTAGACAGCACAGGGTCTTTGGGCATGACGAAACAGCAGCTTTCTACATGGACCCTCTGTGAGAGAGGCCTGCCATCTCCTTGTGGAAACCTATAACAGCATCACTGAAGACATGTTCCTTTTCTCTGCCTCCCCTGTGAAGTTGCTGTGGTCCAGAGGTCTTGTTCACTCAGGTTGAATAAAGGAGCAAATGACAGCTTACTGAGAGCCCACCCAAGGCCCCAGTACCCAGCCCGCCCCTGTGTCCTCCCCAGCTTGGGGTAGGCTATACCAATCTCGGTGTCCCCCACAGTGAGCCTGGCTATGGTTCCAAAGGTCACTAAGGCCAACATGACAGGGTCAGGAGTTTGATGCCTGGGCAAAGACTGTTCAAGGGGATGATGGTGGATGCTTTGCTCAGAAAGTGTATTTGGATTTGCAGGAGAGAACGGCCTCCCTGGACACCCTGGGAAGGCAGGACCAATGGGCCCCAAAGGTAACAACCCAGCAGACAGCCAAGGGGTGCTAAATAGGCCGCTCAATCTGCCCATGAAGATATGGGGAAGGACTCTGCCCTACCCCAGGCCTCAGTGTCCCTTCTCTGCCAGCAGCAGGGGCTGCCTGCCCCCACTCCTACTGGCTTCCAGCTCCCCAGCTGACCCCAAGCAGAGGCTGCCCTGGGTGACTAGCCCCATTTGGTGGGCCTCCCGATTGATCGTATGCTCTGGGCACCAGCATCTTGTTCTCTGCTTCCCCAGGAGACCGAGGAGAAAAGGGAGTACGTGGAGAGAAAGGTGAGCCCATGTGTTGTGTCTTGGGGGTGTCCACAGCTCTGTGTAGAGGGAGGTCTGCCGTGCCCAGTCATACTTAGGGAGAGGGGCCTCAGCCTCAAGTCCCATTGTCAGTGGGTAGAGTAGGTGGCAGGGACCAGGATATTTAAATCCTGAGGGCTCACATCCTAGTACCTACTTGTAGTCTAGCTGGGCGATTAGCAAAACTGATTTGAATTCTTTTCTAATTGATGTTTATTTAATTTTTCAAAAATTATTAACCTCTAAGACACAATCTCATGTTTTCTTTACAATTGAGGGGGACATAACTGAGTTCTGAATGCCATGGACACCCCTCACCCACAAGGCCTCCTGGGTAGGCACTCTGGCAGAGCGTAGTCCAAGCATGCTGGGTGTACAGAGGGGGTTATCCGCACTCATTGGTGCACAAGGCCTCAGCAAGAGTGCTGTCCCTGACAGCAGTCACCACAGCTGTGGAGGAAAAGCCAGGCAGCTGAACCATATACCCCAAGAGGAGGGCCTAGGCAAGAGCTGAAATTACCCAGTTCATGTATTTGTGGGATTATAGGAGTCAATGGGGATGAAGCTGATGACCACATACTCAGGACCCGGTCTCTTCTCTCCCCCTACAGGAGACACCGGGGCCTTTCCATCGTGTGCTACAGGTGACCACATCACTTACCCTGTCCCCATGCAGATATTCTCTGTCCCTGACTCCCCTTCTGGGCCCCTGATGTGTGACTTTGGGCTTGTTGCCTCCCTTCTCTGAGCGTACCTGGGTTCCAGCTCCACCTTCATCCCCTGCTTCCATCCCCAGGACCTCGGGCCTGCAAGGAATTGCTCACCCGGGGCCACTTCCTTACTGGCTGGTATACCATCTACCTGCCAGATTGCAGGCCCCTGACTGTGCTATGTGACATGGATACCGATGGTGGAGGCTGGACCGTGAGTATTGGGCTAACCCTCTGACAGAACTGTCAGAACCCAAGCTCCATGGCCAACAGAAAATGAGACATGTGGGATTTTCTGTCCCTTTGTACCTCGGAGGGAGCCCTTCCTTCTCTGAGGACAGAGAACAGAAATGCTGGCAGGTGATCTGTGTAGGAGAGCCTGAAGGGGAGGACCAGATGCAGCCAGCACACTCCAGTTCCTGCTGTGTGGCTTGGGACACGTTGCCTTCTCTCTTAGACACCACTTACTTCATTGTATGGGGTCTGCAATGGCATGCTCGTGGCACCAGGTCCCCAGTGTTATGGAAATCATGGATTTGTGCTCTGGTTTGAGGCTTGGTCCCTCATGCTATAGGAAGCTTGCCTGCCATCTTGACTTCTGTGTATACCTCACTGTCCCAGGTCTTCCAGAGGAGGCTCGACGGCTCCGTGAACTTCTTTCGGGACTGGGCCTCCTACAAGCAGGGCTTTGGCAGTCAGCTGGGGGAGTTCTGGCTGGGGAATGACAACATCCACGCCCTGACCACCATGGGTAGGCAATGTCGTCCAGATGGAGTAACCTTGGGACCCCGAGTCTTGGACCATGGAGCAGAATATTCCCAGGTGGTCAGAGTATGCACAGGGCATAGCAATGGCACCCCATGGCATGAGATCCCTGATGTGACCTTCCAGAGGGTAGGGGTCGGGATAAGCGATCCCTCTAGCAGTGACATCTCAGAACCCAATGGAAAAGGTGTGCAGGTAGTCTTAGGACATCCTTTCTCTTCTCTGGCTGTTAATTCACCCTGAACACTTGCCCTTGGGTCCTACAGAAGTCCCCCTTTCCTCTGTTAGCCATAGAGAGCAGGTTCCCCAAAGCCCTTCTCACTTAACTGTGGTCCAGAGCACAACTCATGGTCTGTCCTGTGATCCAGTGAAAACCATACAGCCTTTGTCTCTTACTTGCTACCAGGACACCTTATTGTGTGTGCTCATGGGCATCCAATTTTTGGGAGAGAGAGAGAGAGAGAGAGAGAGAGAGAGAGAGAGAGAGAGAGAGAGAGAGAGAGAGAGAGAGAGAGAGAGAGAGAGAGCCTGCACATTCAGATTCAGGCTGCTGCATTTGAGGGCACAGCCCTCTGGGAGAACTCACAGAATAAAGCATGCCAAGGAAACGCTGCTAGTGGGTTTTCAGGTACTGCCTCTAGAACAGATAGGAGGGTACCTAGAAATAGAGACCACGCCCTGTGGCCAAAAGATGTTGGTACCTGCCCAGGTGAATTCTCCAGGGCTGCCTAGTGTTAAGGCTCAAAAGCTGAGATCTAACACCCACGCCTCCATCCCACACTCCTCAAACCCCACTCCCTGCAGGAACCAGTGAGTTGAGAGTGGATCTTGTGGACTTTGAAGGCAAGCATGAGTTTGCCAAGTACAGCTCCTTCCAGATCCAGGGAGAGGCTGAGAAATACAAGCTCGTCCTGGGAAACTTTGTTGAAGGTGGTGCTGGTAAGCGGTGTGGGGAGGGGTTGTGAGGTGGGGGCTTGTGAACCAGGCTGGGAGTAAAGGGGCCTGCTTTTGTCTCCCCCTGGTGGCCCTGAGCTGGGTCTATGCCTCTGAGCCTAGGGTTACTTACCATCAGCAAAAGGCTAAGGCCTGCATCTTTATGCCAGGTGAGGAGCACAATGCAGTCTGTTAGCACTCCCAAGACTGCCCAATAGCCCAGAACTAAGGGCCCACATCCAGCTCCACTGCACAGTGAGTGGGGACCACCGGGTAGAGTCAGAAGGAGATGATCATCTCTCCCTGGGCGCTAAAGCTGTTTCCCCACAGAAAGAGCACCCTTGGGATGCTCAGTTAGCCAGACCCTTTACAGTGAACCAAAGGTGAGGTGGGACACCGTGGTGGAAGTTTGTGACAGAAGGAAGCCTCTCATTTTAGGAACAACAGGAAGCAAAGAAAGAGACCGATAGGGAACACCCCTCAAAGGCATGTCTCTAGTGACACACTCCCTCTCACCAGGCCCTGCCTTCTCAGTGTCACTACCTCCCTACGGTCTACTAAGAATCTATCAGGGACTAACCCACTGATGGTATCTCAGCTCTCTTAATCCGATCACCTGAACCCGCAAACACCGCTTGCACTGGGGTTGGAGCGTTCAACACTCGAAGCTTTTAGAAGGAGGACAGCTCATCTCTAAACCACAGCAGCCATCTTTTCAGGACTCTGGCCCTGTGGCTAAGGATGGGCATCCTACAGAGCATGTTCCCCCGGTACAGTGGCGTGGGGAGATTCCCAGTGTGCCTCAGGGAGCCTCGGGGCATGGCCACCCTTAAACTGCTGAGCCCACAGCTAAGTGGGGAAGGCCACTCCCTCAGGAGCTTTGAAGGTGACAGCTCTGAAACGTGTGCACCCACTTTGCACCACCTGGCCTGGGACTTTTAGGAAGGAAAACAGGCAGGGAGCACTAGTGCCGTCCTGCAGGTGGAGAAGCTGAGGGCATCGGAAGTTCCCTGAGAGCAGCAAGCCCAGCGTGGAGGTGGAACAGGGTGAACCCTGGAGGCCATTTGGTGCCTGCTGAGAGACAGGCAGTGCAAGAGGGAAGTTAAGAGAAGTCCTAGAGAGAGATGTAGGCTGCAGTGGTCCCAGAGGTGCTGATCAGAGGATCCCTGAGGGAACAGGTGGCCTGGCTGGGGAGAGATGACAATGGCCACAGGGACTTGCTGGATCAGGAGGATGGGGTCATATCTGGCATTATACTCTTTCCCAAGGCTTGCTCAGATGGAATCCCTCACCTGAGGAATTCTCCATCTGAGGATAGGCAAGTCACAGGCAGGAGATGGGGCTGCCTAGTGGGCATCTAGCATCTACATGACGTATGCTCTTTCTGGACAGGTGATTCCCTGACTTCCCAAAACAACCAGTTCTTCTCTACCAAAGACCAAGACAATGACCAGAGTTCTTCCAACTGTGCAATGAACTACCATGGAGCCTGGTGGTACTCCGATTGTCATAGTTCCAACCTGAATGGCCTCTACCTCGGGGGCCCCCATAAGAGCTATGCCGATGGTGTCAATTGGAAGGCATGGAGAGGGTACAACTACAGCTACAAGGTTTCTGAGATGAAGGTTCGCCTCACCTAGCTCCTCACACAGGAAGGACCTCCCGTTGTCGTTGCCAACTAAGACAGGAGTGTGCCCACCTGCCCTGCTCTGTCTTTACACGGCTGTCCGCACAGCCATGGCCTCCAGGACAGCTTTCTTCACAAGCCTACATTTTTAGAGGAAAAATGCATTTCCAAAAGCTGCCTTTTCTCTGACAAACATGTGTCTGTGGGCTTTCTGGGTTACTTTTGAGTATTTTGTCAAATCGGTATCATCCGGAAGAGCTGTCTATTACCTTGACAGTCAGGAAGGGTTGGAAAACCCATTTATAAAAGCGGAGAAAATGACCAATGCCTGCTTCTCTAGAGCCATCTGCCTCTGACCCCCCCCCCAGCTCTGCCACCACCACAAGTGGCCTGTCCCCATCCCAGGCCCATGTTCCCTTGTAACTCACTCACAGCAATTTACATGGCCATCAAGAGGTCACCTGGGGGCTAGGAAATGTTCCGTATGAGGTTGGGGGCATGCAGGACCACTTATGCTTGCTATGTAAATGTTTCTGTGAGCCAGCAGCTTCCCATGGATAACAGATGTGGGGAGCACTGACTACAGGGCCAGCAGTAGCTAAGGGGAAGGTGAAGAGGACCGCTCCCTCACCCAGAGCACATCTCATCCCCAGAACCTCAATTCTAACTGACAGAAGTGAGTTGGGGTTCCTGGGGGCAAGGAGAAATACTTCTCACAGACTAGGACTAGTTTTTCTCTAGGACTCAGTGGGTCGAGGCAGGAGGAAGAGAAAGGTAAGTGTACCCCATTCAAACTAGACCATCAGCTTATCCAACACAAGGGAAGGCAATAAGGGCCCAGGAGGATAGAATTCCTTTGTACACTCATGTTTAGTCCCACACATTTAGTGACTTAAAATAACAGGACCCACTACTCAGTTACCAAGATAATGCATGTAGAGATCCAGCTGGCCAAAGTCAAGACAATGGTGTGCTTTCCTGCTGATGCCTGGCATGGAGTCTGACTCCCAGCCCATCCCCAGCTTCCTGGGCACCTGACTTCCTTGGCAGTGGTTCCTTTGCCCAGCTTCCAAGCCAGAAGCAGTGTATGAATCTGGTCTACTGCTGTCCATCACCTGGAGTTAGATATAGTCTGCTTAGAAATCCCTCACAGGTCTCGGGGAGTCACATAGCCAGGTTGATCCTTGCAAACTGTTTACAGGTTCTGGGCATCAGGCAAGAAATCTACAGCAGAGGGCATATTACCCTGCTTACAGCATCCTATTAAAAACAAAAACCAGAACTGTGGACATAGCTCAACTTTTAGAGTGCTTGCCTAGCATGCAAGTACTGGATTTGATTTCCAGTATTGCATAAACTGTGTATGGTGGTGTATACCTCTTATCCTAGTGTTCAGGGGATGGAGGCGGGATGATCAGATGTTCAAGGCCATCTCAGGTTTAAAGCCAGTCTTCCATACTTGAGCCTCTACCTCAAGCAAATAAGCTAATAAAAGCAACAAAACCCGAACACCACTGTCTAATAATAACTGTAAAAATATCCCAGCAGTCGGTGCAAACGAGTGTTTGGGTTGGAGATGTAGCTTGGTGGCAGATCCTTGACCAGTATGCACAGGCACTGAGTTAGAAATGCAGCATTGAACAAAGTGAAAACGGCATGAGATTTGAGCAAACATCTCACAAAACTGATCCAGATGGATTTGTTAAAAGACTCCAAATAATTTAGACTTCTAAAAACATCCTCATGTCTGTAAAAAAAATAGGTTCAATTTGTCTATAAAAGTTATATCTATCAGAGAAATGAAAATCATAACAAAATGAGGTGCTAATACAGCCTACAGCTCATTAAAACCTATAAATGAGCAAGGCCAAGTTTAGGGGATGAGGGGTCTGTTCACCAGTAGTGACAACCAGAAGGCTGTGGTCAATCTAGAAGCAATGGACATGTGCTGATGTCATGAGGGACCTCAGCCATGATCACACCATATACCTCATACCCAAAGGGTGCCCTTCTTGGCATGGAGGCACCAGTGTGGCTGCAGGAGGCATGGACAGGAAACTGAAGACTCTCAGACCAGAGTGAATCCCAGTGCTCATCACAAGGAGAATGTGCCAAGAAAGCCAAAGACAGCAGCCCCACAGAATTCTCCTCAGCAGCAGAGGAAGCATAGCGAGGGGTGGGAGTCACCAACACCAGAGATGCACATTTTAATTAATTATTAAATTGTGTGTGTGTGTGTGTGTGCACGCGAGCACACGCACACGTGTGTGCATGAGTGTATGCACCGGCAGAAGAAGATATTGGATCCCTGGAATTACATGCATTAGTGATTTATATAACTTGTTATGCGGGTGCTAGAACTCAAACCCTGGGTTTGTCCTCATGATTGCACAGCCCAAATTCTTCATTTTGAAGCTACCTCTCTAGCCCCTCCAGTTTAGCGACTGCAAATATCCTCCAATAGGCCCCAGCTACCCTTGAGTTCCTGCCCCATTTAGTCCTTGTTCCCCTAGGTCCCTAGCCCTGCTCCTTGTGGTTCCTGATTCCCCTGGGTCCCTGCTCCCCCTAGGTTTCTACCCCCCTGGGTTCCCACTCTCCCTGGGTCCCTGCTCCCCTAGGTCCCTGTCCCTCTGGATTCTTGCTCCCCTAGGTCCCTGACCTTTTGGGTCCCTACTCCCCCTAGGTACCTGCTCTCTTGGGTCCAGTCTTCAGTTGGGTCCCTTTTCCCTCTGGGTCCCTTTTCCTGCTGGGTCCCTGCTCCTTCTGAGCAGCCTCTAGGGAGCCTCCTTCCCACTCCCCTTCCCCTCAGCACTGAGGTAATAGATGTATATCACCACACCTGGCTTTCTGAGTAGGTTCTGGGGGTCTGAACTCAAGTCCTCATTTACAGCATTTCACCGGTTGAGCTATTGTCCCGGGAGCCATGTGGCTTTCACCATGGCTCAGAATCCGCAGGGAGCTTTGAGATTCTGGGTGTTGTCCACCAGGATTCTGGATCCCTAGGTCTGAGCAGAGCCATGATTCTCTTTTGTGAGTCTTCCTGGATGCTTGTGACGGGCAGTCAAGACGGGGGACCTGCAGGACCTGTAGGTGACTACAGGGTAAAGGAGAGCTGATTCCCTGGCTGTCAGGGTAAAGCTCACTGTAGAGCAGTGATTCTCAACCTTCTTCACGGTGTGGTGACCCCCCAACCATAAAATTATTGTTGTGGCTACTTCATAACTATAGTTTTGCTACTATTATGAATCGTAATACAAATACCTGTTTTCTGATAGTCTTAGGTGACCCCCGTGAAAGGGTCTTTTGATCCCACAGGTTGAGAACCTCTGCTCTAGAGGAATGTGATGCCAGAAGAAAACTGTGTGGAGCAATCCTCCCAAACAGGAGTCTTTCAAACCCAGTGTACGCAGCCCAGATTAAGGACAACTGAAATTTCTGGGCAGCCCTTGTTCACATGACTCTGAACTTCTATGCTCTGCCACTCTGCTGAGCAATGAAGGTAGCCACATCTGTAATCACAGCCAAGCATGTCCTGTGATGGGAGCTCGGGCCAGACTTGGTTAGAGTGTGTTTCAACTCCCTTATCTTGGCCACCAGCCTGAGCAAGTCCCTTTCTGTAGCTCAGTGTGTAGCTAGCCTAAACCCACACTAAGACTGGCTCTTCTTAAAATGCAATGTCTCCTTCGGTGGGAAGACCCTATGTGTCCAGAGGGACTGCTCTGCCCTTTCCAGGACGATTTCAAACAGCCTGTGCCGGCAGGTTCCAAAGACTTGGTGGATATGGGTCATGGGGAGCTGAGAGGCCCATGGTCTGGGTGGACAGGGGGACCCAGTTGGCTGCATCTCAGTTTTCACTCTGAAAAGTGACTCTCCCTCCAACCCCACTTAGAGTTAGAAGCCCACTTACCACAGCAGGATAAAGCTCCTGGTTGCCATCTTGGGACAGATGGGTTTTCAGATGGCTGCTTTACTGGCTGGGACTCCTGACACATGGTGGTGGTGGGTGGTGGGTAGGAGGGACAGAGTCTCTGCGCATCTCCAGGAATCACATCACTGGCCGCCCCCCACCCATATGTTGCAGGCTGACGAGTCACTATGACAATGATAGCAGTGTTAAGTAGTTCAGAGCCACGAAAGAACAGTTGAAGAACACAGGAGGAGGCAGCACTGGTACAAAGCCCAGGGGGTCTCAGGGATGCTGAGAGAGATGTAAGTTTCCTCCCCTCCAGCCTCCTCATTGTTGTCCAATCACAAAGTCTCCTTGCAGTGCATTTGGACAAAGCACCCTGGCTCTCTGGATAGACACAGACTCACTCTTGCTGTTGCCCAGGTTATGGTCAGAGCAGGGCATGGCAAGCAGAGCAGAACCTTGGGATCTTAGGACAGCATCCATTTGGACATATAATCCTTTCCCTCGCCCTACCCGGGCTCCCTCTGAGACAGTCAATGGGATGCCTTCCCTGCCTCTCTGCCATCTACTGTCGTGAGACCATCTCCCTGAGATGGTCCAGGTTTAGGCAGAAGGACTCTCTCTCTCTCTCTCTCTCTCTCTCTCTCTCTCTCTCTCTCTCTCTCTCTCTCTCTCTGTGTGTGTGTGTGGGGTATTGTTCACATGAGTAGGTCAGAGAACAAACTCAGGCGCCGTTTCTCTGGAGTCACCCACTTTTTCATTTTTTCAGACAGGGCCTCTCCTTGCCCAGCAGGCTACACTGCCTGATCTGTGAACTCACATCCCAGGCCTGGAATCACACGTGTGTGCCACCATGCCTGACTCTTTACATGTTTCTGGGGATCAAACTCAAGTCCCTATGTAAAAAAGAATCTGCAGGTCTTGGTTGCCAACAGGGATTCAAAACTTCCTCTCTTACTGTTTAGGAATCTGGGAGCACGCTGGCATTTTCCATTCCTGCAAGCCTTCGGCCTCCTGGAGCCTTCTACACGCTTTGTTCCTGCTTGCCAACTGCTAAGCTCTTCTTTTCCTTGCAACACCTAGCCAGGCAGCCAAGAAAAATAAACACACACTGTTAGAATCCTGTTTTTCCAGCTCTCCCCTGGGGACCATAAAGGATGTTCCACGCATCCACCCTCAAAGTCGTAGGCAACACGTTGATCAGACATGAGTCTTTTGCCCCCCAGGCCCCTATCAGCACTGAGGCCTGGATGTAGATTTAAATAAAAAATAAACGTGCTATGGATTTCTCTGTGAGTTAGCAAGAGAGCATATAAGTATTGTGACAGGAAACCCAGGGTCACCATCACGTTGCCACCCTGGTACTGTTGTATAGCCTGGCAGAGTGCCTTGGAGTTTTCTACATGGCACA